GTTGGAAGTGTTGTGTACAGACTGTCAGGCCATTTCGTAAATAGTGAGTAATGGTTAGGTAACATTATTACTAGTTAAGCTAGCTAACATGTTTTAGCTAATGAGTTTTACAAAACTGACACAACAGAACATTTAAATCATGATATTCTTATGTTGTTGATGTATTCTGACTTTAATTGTGATCACTATTTCTAATTAGTTTCTTTTTTGTTCATGCAAGTTTTATTGATCCTTTCTCTGTTGTGTAAAATGGAGCCAATGTTGAAAAAATTTTGAAAATGTTCAAGCTCTATGTAAAGTACCCTCAAAAATCAAAATATCCGTTTCAAATTCAAGGGATCATCAGTCAGATCGATGGCGGAATATCAATTTCGGCAAAAGTCCTGCTTACCGATTAGCCGCTAGAGTTACAAATAGGCGGACAAATGTTTAGCTGTATCCAATTTTTTATTATCTACAGAACGTGGATTCCGACTACACAATTTCCTAAATGCTACATACGTTAAATAGCATTCCCCCTTAAAGACGTGGTAACTAAGTAATTTCTAGGCATTTTGGGATCCCCTGGATTCCCTAGACTTCCTCAGAGGACCAAGAAGATTTTTTTTTCTGCATTTACTACCAGCAATTCTAAATTGCTCCATTGTAATTTACAAATTGTGTATACAGCTTAACAGAGCTTCTGAGAGCAATTAACGAGATGGTCAATAGATCGCCTCGAGACGTGATCCGCAATATGTTGAGGACACTGACTGTGGATCTCGGCATAGATAGAGGTTCCAACCACCACTAACAGGATTGTGGCATATTTTTTATAGAATCTGTATTACGAATATTCAAAACTATCAGAATTACGAATATTCAAAACTGTTCGATTGTACATTTTAGAGTTCAATTAAATTGGTGCAGTAGAATGTCGCTCATGCGTCTTCCGCGACATGTGCACGGCTTGTAACAAATTTTCACGTATATTCGTCCTCCCTTCACACAGCACTTCTTCTCAATGTTATTGTTACATGTAGTCAGCGTCGCCAATTAATTCTGACTTTATCATAAATTTTAAATTAGAACACACACATAATTAATACAATTTGTTTTGTCTGTGATACAATGTATTTTTATTTTTTGTAAACAGGGAGGGGGTCTCAAGCGTTACGTAATTATTTTGGGGGAGTTCAAGCGCGCGTTAAAGGCAAGATACAGTGAGGGAGGGGGTACTCAAAATACTCCAAATTTGCGTTGAGTAATTTATGGACGGCCCCTTAGTAAAACAATACCTAGAATACATTATATATTTATCACATTGTCGTGAATATCTTTAGAATAGAATATTGACCCATCCTTGAGGCAGAAAGTCATGCTAACTCAGACACACTCCTTTCCAATAGTGTGTATCCTGACTTGTTTTCCAATTTTCAAGCAGGCACTCTACAATGTGATTAAAAAGGAATGGGGATAAGGGCCCCCCTGTTTAACTCCTCTACAAATTGGCACCTCAATGCCTTTTGAGGGGTACTGAATGAAAGGTCAGCGTTAGAGTTCATTACCAAATTGGTAAAGGTGACGGGGATCCCTTTCCTGGACAGAGCCCACCGAATCTCCGCGTGCGTAAGTGTCGAATGATTCGGATATTTCTAGCATAGCACCGATACCGAAGAATTTGAACAGAGAAACAGCCAGGTTCAGAGATAAACCATTTTTAGCGAGGATTGAATCCGTTTGTTCATAATGCCCCAAAAGATTCTGCACTGTAGAGAACGAATAGTGATGGGGCGATAGATCGTGATGAAGGCAAACTTATTTTCCTTACCCACTTTTGCGATAAGGATGGTGCGATTAGCTTTCCATCCAAAAGGCCCAAAGCCGAAGTATAGAATTTGTGTTCAATAAGGACAATATTTGCTTTAGAAGATAAGTAGCTTTTATCTTATCTGGTCCTACGGCCATGGGATTTTTCATCCCAGCCAGCCGACTTTTAATTTCAGCGACTTGCATTTCCTACAAAATTGTCTAGATCTTTTTCAGGTGACAATTTATCATTCTCTCTTAATTAGGAAAGCCGAATCGGAGGCGTGTTACTCCAAATGGATTTGAACAGATCGTTAACCTCATCCGTGTTAAGGGGCTGTTGATCGACACTAGTACAGTCAATACCCGTTCCAATGCACTTTGCCAAAAGCGCTGTATCATTCTTGAAAAAGTCCTGCGACCTAGCATAAGAGTAGCGCTTCCTAGCGCATTTGACTCCATGTCTAAGGGGCCTTTTAGGATTGGTGGTGGTAGGTCCAGTGGAACTACCTAAAATCTCCAACTCGGCAAAGGTCTCGAGCAATTGGTCCTGGGGTTGAATATTTCTTTCGTTAATTTCCCACGCCAACGAGCTATTGATCTACATTATTTTGTGAAGTATCTCAGGTTCCTATCCAAGTTGAAATATTTTCCTTCGAGTTTGGCATCTACTGTGACCCTGTTAAGGCAATTAGTAGTTATGTCTCCGGGCCTCAATAAAAGTTTGGTCCATAACCGACCAGCGGGGTCGGAATGGGCTGTGCCAATAACTGATAAAACAGAATCAAAGACGAAGGGGGCACAGCCGAAAGCTCCTGATTCATCTATGAAACTATAGCGGCCTCCTCGTTAGGGGATCGCAACCTACCTTCTTTCGGGGAGCCATTGTAAGCAAGCATTAAGTCACCTTTACAAGCTTTCGGACCCTGGCACTTCGAAAAACAACTCAAAGCGTTACCTTTGTAATTCTTGCTGCATTTGGAGCACAAAAAGATTATGGGGACATCACTATGGATAGTATGATTAGAGGATGTAATTTACTACAAATGTGAACAAGATTTATCCACTTTTCCTTACTAGGACTCTGCAATTAAGATTTTGTCGAAAAATCGTATTTTTCCGCAGCAATACAACACTTTCGCTACACTGCATAAGCTGGCGAGAAAGTAAAAAATAGAATAAAATAGAAACAGACGCCCACAAATGTCAAGCTCTAGGTCCGAATCCGAATGGTCTTTCAACTTGCTATCTAGCTAGCGTCAAAATTCCGCCAATGTCGGGTTTCGAGTCCTATCACTTATACTGATAATTAATATTATTAAAGTGCAGACAGTATTAATTTTTCAACTACCTTGTAAAGAACTTAGCCAAAGATGTACAAGGAATTCGAACATGTAGTTTTCGAAATTTCACAGATTTTAATGAAAATCAAACTTGCTCCATATTTATAAGCACACCTCTATCTTTTCAACAAATACATTATAAGATAAAAGATAGTCCTAGGAATTGAACCACCACTTTCAAATTAGGAATCCATACTGAATACAAATATATGCCAATTTCTTTCACTATCTACAAAGATGGAGAAGTGCTTAGGATTGAAACCATTTGAGATTTCAAAACACTTCATAAGAGACAATTTAAAGCATTTGTGCCCACAAAATGCATTCAATTACAAAATACACGTTTAGCATAAATATTAAAGTGCAAAGAAGTGTTCAAAAAACAATCATTCTAAATTTCTCAATTCTATGTACTTTGAAAAAAGTACGACATTAAAGATTAATTTTGAACCGTATCTTCAATTAAGTAGAAATCTATCTCTAAAAACATAATTGTAGTAGGGAGTCAAAAAAGGTTAACTTTTGCAACTTTCTGGTGCACGATTGCATCACTTTCTCCTCGTACAAAGAATTCGTAAGGCGAGAAGGTAAAAAAAAAAAAATTTTTTTTGAGACACTCTTGATTTTAATGTTCTTCATGTTTTACTACAAAATTTCAACTAAAAAAAGAAAAGACCATATGATGGAAACAAAATAACTAATTGTGAGGAACAAATTTCTTTTGAAGAAATAAATCGCTATTTTCAATAAACAGCACATGTGGGAAGGTGCCAAAAAAGTTCAAATTTTGTAATTTTCAAAAATTCACACTAACAGTAAAAGTTGGACCAAAGCTAAATATTTTTTTCAAGAAAATTAAAAATGGTGCCATTTTTGGAAAATTATAAAAATAACCTGAAAGCTTGATATAAAGTAACCCAAAATTTAAAAATGTTTTTCAAAATCACAGAGCTTCGAATTGAGCCAGATCAAATAAGGAATATTCATTTTGAGAAAAGTTCTGTGAATGATTTAGGGGGAATGTTTACAGATGGATTGATGTTTTAAAAAAGATTTTTTTCGGCATCTGGGGACCCCAAAGCATTTATTTTCAATAAAATTTCAAAGTCAAGTTAGCAATACATATTAACTTTCCCCATACTTTGTAGATATGTATGTAAATGAGACAGTAAAAGTCTTATCTTGTCAAATTGCCTTTTGATTATTTGACAATGTCAAACACTTGCATCTCAGATAGATTGAGAGTATTTTTGGGTTAACAAGACATTTTTTTAAAAAGTTTTTAATGCGTAAAAACGTGTATTTTGAATACCATGGATTAATGAGCCTATAAATCTGATCCCTAGTAAAAATCTAATGAGACAATGTAACTTTTTCCTTTACTTCCAACCATTCTTCACAAAACATGTTGAAAGTGCATAATAATACTTATTATGATGACTAAGGGAGCAAATTTTAGAAGTTTAACACATCAATAAGACTGTTAGACCCTTATCTTTCTGCAAATATAAACACAGTTTTTATTATTCTAACTCACAAGTTAATTGCTACAGCTCAACAGAGTCAGTTCACCTACAGTGCAATTAGTTAAGAGGACCAAATCAAACTACCTTCAAACTAAATTCACTACATTCTCTACCAATATCTGCAATCAACTCTACAAATTTTGGTCAAACATATTTCAGAAAAGAATTGCAAACACAAAACATTTATCAGATTCTAATACAACACAAGGCTTTTAATTGGTAATTGAATGAAATCTGATTTCAAACTCTTTGGGAAGAAGGAATAAATAAATAATAATTAAAAGGGAAGTTAGATCAATACACAAAATATCATGTAATTAACTTGAAATAAAAACACTTGGGGTGCATCAAAAGAATTTATTTAAGGAACTTTTGAAATATTCTATAAATATGTACAAAAATATACACTTATTGTCTTTTTGGAGAGAGCAATATCAAAAGGATCACACTATTGAACAAATATTGATTTTCAACACTGTACACTAATACTAGGTTCTATTAAAGGAACAAATACATGTTGCCATACATTTCAATAGTAACAATAATGTTACAAGTAAAAGTAAGAAATAAACATTCTACAATTCAAAATGGATTCATGCTACAATGTTCAGTTAACCTTTCCCAGATGGAAATGATCTTTGACTCACAACTAACTTTTTTAGTATTCATTTTCACTTTGGATTAAATTTGTTTTTCCCATAGAAAGAATAGAAAATTAAACTTCTTCAATCTTTGTAGTGTCTGTTTAGAAATCAAAACACATTTATCAAGAAGCATACTGTTTGTTCAAATTGCAGAGATCCCGTCAATGTAAATAATCTATTGAAACGAACAATGCAAAGTCTTATGGTGTAAAATCAATTTTGTAGACATTGAATTGAAAAATATATTTAAACGAATACAATCACTACATGTTTTGTTACAGAGGAAATTGAGATGCATAAAAATGGAAAATGTACACTATATCTTTCTCAGTTCTCTATACTTCATATTTTCTTACAGAGAAAGTTGCATTAAAATGAAAAATGTATGCTATATCTTTCCCATTTTTCAATGTTAATCATATTCACGTTTGGCACATTTACATTACAAGTATTACATATTGGTCTCTTCAAGTATCATATCTTACAAACTGTAATGATATAACAGCACCAACAATACTGAGTTGTATTAAATTATTTGGTCTCAGTGCAAAATAAGCACACATTACAAGCTCAATGAATAACCACAGGCTTAAAACTGATAATTTTTTAAAATATCTTCATACGTTCACTTCAATCCCAAGTCACACAATAAATTGTCAACAAGAAAGCCAGAACATTTATGAAAAATGTTTTCAGATATTTTGTCATGATTAAACTTGTTATTTACATTCAATCCATTTGGTCTGGATAAGAAAATCAACCCAAAACAACAAAAAATGTCACAAAGTCACTGGCTCAGCTTCACTGGCTGATCTTAAGAGATTAAGTCTGTAAGAATGTAACATGAAAATGTAATTAATAATAAAAACAATATAAAATTAAAAATACACATTTGAGCAACTGCTTTCAATATTACACACCACTAAAGGAAGGGACCTTACTTTCCCTCAGCAAATTTCAAATGTTGTGTATATCACACAAATCAATAGCAACATTTGAAAGATTTCGAGATTCGATATATGAAATTAAAAATTACAAAAAATCCATTATAAAGTTATTTTTAAAATTAAAAATAATCAGACTACTTACCAATTCTTTTAGTTTATTAGTTACACTGTAGATATTAAATTTTAAGTTCTAGAAATAAGTTTGTTAGACAGCTTTAACAAAAGAATCACAGATGATTATTTATTGGCACCTCCCTACTCAAGTTTTAGGAAAAGTTAAGTCCAAAACTTAATTCACATGTACAGTACATATAAAAGTTGCAAGATCTATAATTCTGACAAGTCTCTAAATAATAAGCAACCATCCAGAATCTTTCTAACCAAACAAATCGTACAAAGTGGAAGAACTGTAACATTTAGCCATTTCACCACAATCATAATTTCAGTTTTGACAGATGTCATAAAATTTTAACTCTAGAGCCACCATTAAGGTAGGACTCCTTTCATAGTTAGCAAAAAGAAAGAAGATAAATCTTAGATGTCTCTACTCAGTGCAAGGAAACAATGCAAACACATTTTTTCTCTCCCTTATATAAAATAATTAAACTAGTGACACATTTCTCCATTAACTGAACATCCAAAAAACTAAAAGAATCACTGAAAAACTTAAACAAACAAACAATTATATTCATGCAAACTATCAACGTGGAGCTTCATTCCAAAATAAAAATCGAAGATTTTCTTTTATATACAAGATATTTCATAAAAATAATTTGAAACCTGTTCAGTCTCAGAATATAAACTCAGCTACAACAGCAAATGATTCAGTAAAACCTTAGTGTTACTCGAAAGCCATGCTAAAATTATAAATTTAACAGGTATTTAAATTCACATCTTCAACAATAGAACTGAAATGTACTTGTTAATAAATTTTGTAAAATGAAAACTAAATGTCTAAAAAGCAAAAATCTTAGGTTAGAGACTTGATCATTACAACAGAATAACAGACGATCATTTCATTTTCGAATCAACTTACAATAAGCACCTCTCATGATATTAACTCCTTTATTGTGAGGATTAACATCATAAAATGGGCAATATATTACAGATTAAAACCACGTTTAAATGATAAAATGTTTGTTTGTCAATCAGTTTCTCAAGACTCATAAAACCCAAATATAAATTTGCAATCACAATACAGAGCAAAGAAAACAGATACGGCTATGAAATTTCACTTCAACACAGACACAAAGTGCAATCTGATTCCATGATGGCCTACATCAATTGACAATGCAGTTTCGTTCCTTAGTACGTAATAATAACATAGATAGCCTCAGTTCTCGAGTCCAAGACAAAATAAATTCTATACCTGGTATTATATCTGTACAAAGAGAAAGATATGTCAAAAGAAAAAAGAAGAGGTAAGTGTAGTGGTCAAAATTCTAATTTATTTTAATACTTTTATCTGAGAGATAATCGTAATCAATCATAACGGTCAGGATATATAACACGCAAACAACCTATGTCCTTGGTTATGGACATAATAGTTTCTTTGTTAATCTGTTTCTCGCAAACATCAAGTAATGTCAAATACTTTAACTGATTTGGAACATCTAATACTGCTTCAGTTCGAACATTGCAACCATTGATGTGCAGCTCTTGCAACAATTTTAAATGCTGACAACATATTACTAAACTCTCACTTGTAACTTTGTAACAAGAATTAAGATTCAAATACTTGAGCTTTACACACTTTGATATGTGTTCCACACCTTTATCAGTAATTTGATCACATCCAGCAATACTCAGATACTCCAAATGTTTTAACTGATATATAAGTTCCAAACCCTCATCTGTCATTTTGGGACAGTACACAAGTTTTAAGAACTTAAGTAAGGTACATTTTTGAAATATTAGCCATGCTAAACTATTCTCAAAATTCTCAAAGACTGTTAAATCAAGTTTCACCAAAGATTGAAGAGCACCATTCTTAAAAAAATCTAACAAATAATTCACGTTGCAATGTCTAAAATACGGAAGAGATAATCTTTTCAAACTCTGAATCTTTTTCAGAGCAGCAAAACCTTCGACTGTCTGTACATCTACATATTCTTCGACATGTAGAGATTCTAGATTAGTGCAATATGAAACAACTGGTAGAGTGCACCTTCCTCTTTCACTGGACCAACGCAATTCCAGAGAAACAATATTACGTCCTTTTTTCTGCAATAAACGCTGCAAATCATCATTGGAATAATCATAAAAATTCTTGAGATCTAACACTTGAAGAGACGGACAGCCATCAGCTAAATCAGCAAAAAAATTCTTTTTACTTTTTGATGCATTTCCACCAAGTCTCAAAGTTTTCAGTTTTGTACACTTACTTATCAACTTCAAACATTTTGTTCCCTCAAAATCAATGGCAATCACTGATAGACTTTCAATATTTCGGCATTCTTTAACAAGTTTTGAAACCAAAGTATCACCTACTTCATCGATGTAAACATCTAGCTCTCTGATGTCCTTACAGTATGCAATTATTACTTCTAAGATCTTCTTCCTGGTGTATCCTTCAGGCTTAAAAACCTGTAATTTAGGTGCCTGCTTTAAAATATTTATAATGTCACTTGAAGAGGTATGATGTGATGGGCAGTATGGCAAATGTCTCCAAAGTCTAGAATCTTGAGCTACTTCATTCCATTCATCATTCACATGTCTTACACCAAGAATAATATCTTCAAGAGAGAGGTAAGAGCACACTTTAAGAAGAATTTCATAGGGAAGATCATCTATAGTTTTCTCAGGCATGATCTGCAATAGAATATCACAGTAATACTCAAATAAAAAAACTTAAACATAAAAACAGCATAATCAAAAAGCCATTTTCAATATACTGTCATTGGCAAGTCACAAGTCTTTCTTTTGAGATAGTTTTTCCACAATCAAGTACAGTGACTTTTTAATAAGAATGAGATCAGCAAAACTTTTATTAACTTATTACTTGCCTAATTACCGAATTTTGAATCGAAAACGGAGCGTAAGTGCAACATTTGACGCAATTTATCGAAACAATCCGGGTATTACGAAATTTCATGTTTTAATGTTCAATATATGTTATATTGTAAAGTTGAAAAAAGACTAGGTTAGCCACACACAGATAAGTGTTCTATGTTCCAATTATGGATCAAAATCTTCTATAAAAAAAACTTGCAGTATTAACTACGTAACCTAGGTCATTTCAGATCACTGACAAAGTTCTACGAAAGAACTAAATCATTTAACACAAAGCAATCAATCACAATAATATCTTCAATTTGTGGATAATAAAGTGATAAGTACTCACACGACAACACCTATAACGTGACTTTCACACGTGATTTATATAATAAAAGTAAAATCCGACAGATCGGGACAACGCCCGTTATGCACTCTGCTCTTGACCGTCAATTTACGTTGATGCACAGTGCACTGCACGAGCACGCATGATTCATGCGAAAAAATAGCGGGTATGAAACCTAGCTAGTATCCGGCCCTTTCAAGAAGCTGCGATTCTACAGAACTTGAGTCATATTCCTACATCTATCGAAATTGTGGTTATATAAAATGTCATCGTAAAGTACACAAATGACGCAAGTGATGGGACTTCGGGGAAAATCCGAAGCTGAACCGGACAGTTCAGACACGTGAACTTCTAAGCGCACCTGATTTGTCATTGCCGTTTGTGGGAATTTTGATATGTTAATTCAGCAGCGAATTGTATTAGATAATTGTAGTATAAAATTTACAATGGTCGAAGTTTAGAAAAAAATAATTACAGGCATCTAACTTAATTTAATGATGTATTCCATTATATACAGAAAAAAAGGAATAACAAAATAGTAAGTAAAATACCATTCCATTAGAACGAAAACATTTATTCAGTTCAATAACAATATATTTCAAAGTAATGACATTTTCCATTTCTTCAAAATTAACTTTGCTGAATTTATTTGAAAAAAAAAAAATAAAATAATAATAATAATAATAATAATAATAATAATAATAATAATAATAATAATAAATGGAATTTCCATTATCTTCACAACACAATTAATACCACAGAAATATACTACCTTATTACAATGGAGTATGTTTATCGATCATTATAATATCACAGGTCAACATTAGTATCCCTCAAGAACTTACTGTTGAAACATGAGAGTTTTATTTTATTCCAGATTTCACAATAATTTCTGGAATAGTCCTACGTAATGGGAAGATTTCATGATCTTTTCAATGGGGCAATGCGAATACTACCCCCTTCATCTTGATGTAGTTCCATTCCTAATTCATGTAACACAGCACTAGAAGCAGGACCTTTTGCCACCAACTCTGCCACTATCCCTTGATTGGCAAGATTATTTTCTAGCAGATTACGCACTGCAAACACACCCCACTGCAGCAGTACTATTTTAATTAAGGAATTTTTTTGAAAAGAGGAGTCTGTTATTACCTGTGATGTAACAAAATAAGATTTAAACAACTTATCCCTACGATAACACAAGGCCTGCCACAATTTTTTTTAAAATTAATATTTTATTGATTTTGTTAAAGAACGGTAAAAACAGTACATGTATGGGGGATCTTCTTAACCTAAAGTATTGTTCTTCCTAATTTCTAGACATGTATAAAACCTTAGTATTATTGTAAACTGGTTTTAGCACAAGCTTTGCTGATGCCATTACTAAATTTATACTTGAAGATAATACAGTGGTGAAAATGTATTTTGATTTTTGCTACAGCAGGTTCACAGAAGGTTCTTCAGTTTTCCTTCTTTTTTTTCCAATTTGATTATCAAATATTTTACAATAAAAAAATTTAATATACTTGAAAGCCTGCATTAAAAAAAATCTTACCTCCAAAACACAAAACAAATGTGCTACTAATAAATTAACCCAATTTAACCATTCCACAAGCTGAAAACTTGACAAGAAATAAGAAGCACAATGATCAGCAAGATTTAAAAGGATACATGGATTGTACACATCAATATTACAAGCATCTAAAACGGCAGGCAAACAACCAAGTTCTCGAACCTGAAATATTAAAAGAAGTTATTACTCAATATGCAATAAATAAAAAATTAATATACAATACATACAAACAATGTTTTCTTTCTCATATACATATGCATATAACATGATAAACATAATACAGAGAAAGACATATAATGCTGTGGAAAATTATTTTGAGGTTTCAAATAAAATACACTTTTTTCTTCTTTTTTTCAAAACGTCCATCTGAAATTTCTGGCAAAATGAATATTCTGTAATTGATATGACCTGACTGAAAGTCCTGTGATTTTAAAATAGTTGGCGTGGGTCCAATATTCACTGTTGAATCACAATTTTTAAGTTGTAAAAGATCGACATGTATTCAAGCCCCTCCCTGTACCCTCATACAACTATATTATTGAAGATAGAGTGATTTTTTCTCCAAATAAACTTGTTCTCCACATTAATTTTTAAAAGTAATCTTGTATATTTTTTTGAAAATAACATTAGTTTTCACTTTTGTTTGAGTGAAATGAGCAAATGAAAAATAAGATTTTGTAAAAAAACGGCCTACAATTACTGTAACTTTTTGTTTGGATAGAGCTAAGAATACTAAAAGCTACGACACAAACATCATTTTGATGAATTCTTTTGATTTTTTGAATACTACACAAATGTATTTTTTCAAATATCTCTCACAGTGTTAATATTTGCATTACGGACATTTTTTATTCATTATTGTATTTGTGAGTACTCAAAAGCTCAACAGTTTTCTGTGAAAATGAGCTCAAAATTCGCATTTTCAGAAACAAACAACATTTTCTAAAAAGCAACTCCAAATTTTTAAATGAAAATTGCTTCAAAGGCTTCTATAATATTCTTAAATTGATATTTCAATTTCACTATCAGGGGAGCAAAAAATTGAAAAAATTATCTACTAACAGTAGCTGAGAAGTCGGTTGAGCAAAACCAAAAAACTAGCCCAGACAAAAGAGAAAATTTAGAATCCAGAAATTAACTAGTACAAGGAAAGTCCGTGCAATTCTGCAGTACTACTAGTTTTTCCCTTTCCAAGGACTTCTCTGCAATAAACACATACAATTGAGTGAATATATACGAAGGAAGTTCCATAAGTTATCCACTTCAGTATCTTAAATCATAGCTGGAGAGCTGCATGTGCAGCAGGTTGGGATACATCTTGGTATGCTTTGACTTCATTCACAAATCAGCTGCCATGAGCTCTTGATGTGAGATCACAAGTGCAGTGCCATATGGCTCAACAGAAAAAAATGAGAGATTTCGAATGTATTACACTGATAAAATTCCTCACAAAGGAAGGGAAGTAGCCTAAAGAAATCCATGACAGGATGAATATCGTACATGATGATATGCCTTCATACTACAAAGTAAAATGCTGGGCCATGCAATTAAGTGGGGGAGAGAATCAATTGAATATGACACGCATTCAGAGCGGTCAGGAATCTTCAAAGCCAACATGCCAAAACATGCAACATGCAACATGCAACAACATGCCAAAACGTGAAGACAATGATTTTTGAAGATTGTTGTGTTAAGGTCAGTATGTGTATGTGTTAAGGTCAGCTCATGAATTTGGCATTTCAGTTTCAGGCACTGTTCATAAAGTCTTCTTTACAGAATTGATGATATCAATAGTTAGTTCCTGCAGGATGCCATGAATGTTGTCTCTCAAGCAGAAAGCATTTCACCAGCATCGTTATAAAGAGAAATGCTTGCTGAGAGAAAGTCAAGATTAATTTTACTCATGAATTATTGCAGGGGATGAATAATGGGTTCACCATCAGAGATGTCAGCTGGCAACCATTTTTTGGTTCACAGATGGTATTCTGCTTGTAGAATTCATGCGACATGACAACCATCACAGGAGGCACTTATTCTTTGAGTACAGGGCTTTATGTGAATCTGTCAAATAGAAGGGCCATGAGAAGTTGTCTGTTAGTATGATCTTACTTCATGACAATGCGCCTGGATAGAAGTCATGCAAATCACAGGCTGCTCTGAAGGACTGTGGTTTCATACAACTTAATCATCCATCATATAGTCCACATCTGACTCCCAATGACTACTTTCTGTTTGGAAGAAAGTAAAACCTTCTGTGTGGGCAACAATTTCCTGATCATGAAGCAGTTAAGGAAGCTGTCATGGGGTACACCTGGACAGACAAGATGTTTTCTACTATTCTGAGAGTATTTGATCACTGGAGGCTAAATGGACCGGTGTGTTGAAGTCAATGGGGAATACATTGAAAAGTAATGAGGAGTTTCATAATCAGATTCCATAATCATGTTCAAGTAGATAACTAATTGAACGCCCTGTGTAAATCAAGTATGCAATGTACATGTTCAACTTGATATGCGTGTATTACGGTATTCACTATTTTGGAAATTTTCCACTGCTCCCCCTAGTACATTTAAAATGTTTACAAAAATTAGTAATGCAAATTTCTAAACTGATTAAACAATTAATCCCAGCACATCACTTTTTTAGAGTATATTATTTTATTTTTTGTTTTCTCTCATTGAATGTGGTGGTCTCCAAGAGATACATTTCAATTAAGTTTGTTTTTTCACATGTTTTAATAAAATATAATTTTTCGGGTTCTTCTTTGTTATTGCCTAATTCAAATGCTTAGCATCACAGCCATTTTTTCAATTTTTTCTTTGTACTTAGTAAAAGAAGGACTATAGTAGGTATGTAAAATAATATTAAATAAAATTTGAAATTTTCAAATAAATGAAATGTGTCATGAAGGATATGAACAGCACAAACAGAAACATTTTTTAAAGTAAGATAACATAATAAAGCTCAGGATAACAATTTTTAGAGCAATTTCCATCTTGCAGTAATGAACCTTTATCACAAAACGATTATGAAAAAAAATTTAACATATTATTTTTGGAAAAGTTTAAAATGATCAATTGAGCCACGCAATTTCTTAAAAAACTTTCTGCCTGGTCCAGTTTTAGACAATACAGTGAATCATCAAATTTCACATTTTGTTCTTTTTCATCCTTCATCCCAATTTGTATAAAATATAATTTTTAATATTTTATTGTTAATATCGTATATAAGAATAATTTTAATATTGTTTATTTGTTTGACAATTTGTATCACTCTTATTTTAAAAATAATGAGGAAGGAGAGCATATTAATCGGCACAATCAGCACTCGGCAAAATAACAACCTGCTTGATGCTAGTAAATTAAAAACAAGCACCGATGAAACAACATCCTGCAACAAATTTATACTCTTGCAAGGAACTTGTAAGATTTTGTCCATTTTTCAGATTCTCCTTACTGTTTTATTATTCAACCAAATTTCTGTCAAATGAATCTGTTAGTTTATGTCTTATATGGTAGATGTGGTTTACATTAGCAACAAAAAATAAATCAAGGAAGAGATTATGCAGTTATCTAATCTATTTTTCAAAAATTACAACAATCTACGTAAAGCCAGTCATACACTGACATACTTTGGGCCATAAGTGGACCAATTTTAAATTTATGATTACTACTTGGGTAGAACTTCAATATCAAGAGTTAATCAATAACTTATTACGTCTACATTCCAAGTAAAGTTCCTATTCTATTTTTCAAACATATCTGAACCTATGATGAAAATCCATTTTTAATGTAAGTAACATTATTTTAATACTTGAAATAACACATTGAACAACCAAAGGTCAAACAATTTTTTCCCCAAGATTTCATAAAGTAAATAGTTCAAAATACATAGATAGTTCACCGTGAATGATAAAATTTGTTTTCACTTCTAGGGTAAAAGGTTTATTGGCAACATTTTTTATAATAAGTGTGAATGGCAGACAGGTTTTTGTTAGGAGTTACCCATTATCGTAGTAATATAATTTTACCTGGTTCTGATTTTCAGCTTGCTGATGGCACAGGTTTCCAACAAGACGCACCAGAGATACCTTGAAACCAAAAACTGGATGACTCTGAACAGATTCATTACTCAAATTCACCTCAGAAAGCCGTTGTACACTACTGAAAATATTGCCTCCATCACTTTTCCCAATTTCTGTAACGTTCTTTAGGAGACCTATGAAGATAACACAAAAATATTCTCAAAGCTTCAAAACAGTGGAGGTAGATATTGAAAAACTTTTAATTTGGAATGTCTTATTAATATTATATTTACAAATTCAATTTACAATTTGTAAATATAATATTTAATTATAAAAAAAAAATTAATTTTTTATGAATGGGAATATAAAATATTAAAAAAATATTTGCAATTACATACATGCAATACTTATAAGAAGAGAACGATCAGCCTGCAAGGAAGGAAGATACTGGGTTCGAGATGAGGCACATGCTACAACATCCAACAGACGCAACGTTTCTCTTGGCTCCGCAGTCATTCCTTCTTCTACAATGGTTAACACACTGTCAATTTGCTGCTTTAGTTGTTTCACCAAAAACAACACATTTGATACAGGAAACTTTACATTTTCTTCAGTTTCTTTTTCTCTTTCAACTAACAGGGACCATATTGCATCTAAAAGTTCTAAGCGATATTCAGAATTCAGTTGTGGATATATTTCTTCGAGTAGTTTATCTATGCCTAATACATACTCAACTATGAACATCCTGTAATTATAAAAACTAATATAATAATGTATTTATAGATTACACAGATGTGATCTAAAGAACAGCACTTAATACAAGAAATTAATATTGCCACATGTCAGATAAACGTATACTTACGCAAACTCACTACCGTTTGAGTAACAATTTAACAACAAAGGCATATTAGTAGTAATGTATTGTAGAGTAGCATCTAATTCACCAATTAAAATATTATACAATACCATACAGGAAAAATTTACAAGGGAGTCATCTACACTCACAAGTAATTTTCTGCAAACAAGATAAATTATTAACTGATGCTTTTGTTGTTTCAAAAAACAAATTTAATACTTATAAAACAGAACATACTTCACATGGGGGTGGAAAATCTCCCAAGCTATAATTTGATTCTTCTGATTACCAACAATTGCATTACCAATAAATTGAACAATAATCTTCACACATGACAGATTATTTTCAAGGGTAGTGTCACTACACAAAATTCCTAAGATATCTGAAGTGCTTGTAAATATTGTTGAATTGACAAGACACTTCTGCAAATGACGGTCAACGGCACAAGCATTTCTCAAAAATCTGAAGCATTCAGTAATTGCACCAATAACTTCTGCTGACTGCTCGTCTTGCAAAACAGATAATTGAATATCCAATGCATGTGCCACTTGTTTTAGTATTTTATTTGACACATTCCTAAAGTCAAGAATAAAGAATTAAATCAACAACAAAAACGATAAGCAACACTTTACAAACAAAACATGTCCTCTTTTATGGATTACCCATTATTAGGTCTCAGTTTCTTCATTGCTTCTTTTACATTTAATGTGACATTGTTCCAATCGTGATTTTCTAAGTTCATAGTAAATATAGCTGGGAGTTCTAGCTCATTTGAGGAATCAAGAGACATTGCTGTACCGCCAATTAATTTTTCCAGTATTTCACAAACTGATGGTTTACTTCGCATAAAACCGCGTTAGTACATATGTAAAACTACTGTATTATAACACTCAATTTATCGCCATAACACCACCACTGGCACATGAAATTCAGGTTCAAGAAGGATCAGGGAACTACACTATAAAATATGTCTTTTGAAATATTACTTTTTCGCAAGGATCATTGGGCACAGATTTGTAGTACCAGATTTACAATTTCATTTTCGTTAGATTTTTCGGAACTCAATGCAATTGTAATTAGACTAAACGCATCATGAAGTTGCAGAGCCCCACACAAATTCGGCCATAAAATGCAGCTAATCTGCGAAGAGGAAATACACATGCAAAACTACAAAATTGCTAATAACAGCCGGTGACTACAACCACATGCCTTGCTCCCAGCTTACTATGACAGATGATGTTGGTAAAACAATTTGGAACAGTGCGGAGAATTGGTAGCCCTGTCTTCGCGGTTTATTCAAATATATTTTATTATTCTTAAATGGATTTGTTTTGATTTATTTTCGTCATAGAAAAGGAAAATCTTGATGCAATATATCGGGGAGAAGTATAGTCTGCGCACGTTTCCTAGAGATCCAGAATCTCTATCCCTATCTTTTGCTATACATAGCTAAATGATGACCGGCGAAGGTGTTTCGAAAACCGAATTTGCTGGAAATGAGACAAGCACCACCTTTTTACGACATTCTAGGTCAAAGTTTAATAAAAAATACGACCCATTTTTGAGAAAATTGTGAAATTGAATTGAAGACAAAATATCGCTGTAACTAGTATGGAGCTTTAACTTCTGGGTCAACGATACCTATCTCAATCAGGTTTTTCGTCCAGTTTACTCAACCCATCGTATTCTGACAAATCCAGCATATCCTGAGGCCCCCGTTTTTACTTTCTCGGTCTTACTTCGTAAGTAGACAAAATATTGTAATAATGTGCCGGAAACCGGCGAATCTTTCGACAGAAAAACTTATTGCTGGGCCCTGGTAACAAAAAGGAGGATATATATTGTTTCTGTATATAGTAAATTACTTCCTCTAACACGTTGTGTAGACAGATGCCATGTTTTGGGTGTCCTTGATACCGATAAATTGGTTTACGAAAAAATGTCTTCTACCCATGTGTAACGCTAGAGCTTAAACCGTACAGATTATTTTCTCCAAAATCGATGTTCCATCTATTTTACTAAACTCCAGGGTCTGCAAATTTGAAACATATATTTTGATATTCGACAGTACTTTACATGACTCCTCAACATTTTAAAAGTGTCCTCAAAAAGCCGCTCGAAATTTTATTAATTAAAAATCATTCTCGAACAGTGCAAACGCACTTTAAAAAAATGGTGCAGGTGGCATTTTGACTGAACGTTCTAAATTTTCGAAAACTGCAAAAGCTCAGATTTATTCGCCGAGTTCCTACAACTACAATATTGAAGATAGATTTTTTTAAACGAAGTATGAAACGCAATCAATTGTGACTTGGGATTAGTTTGTCCATTGATGGTTACTCAGTTAATAAACGTTGTATATCTAATGATCTGCATTAAGAAGCATTGCACAGTTTATATTATTTCATTTGAATTTCAGAAAATTTCAGGAAGTTAATATTTGCAGAAAACGCATATTTGTTATATACGAGTCGGTCCCGTAGTATATAGATGTACAATTTCTTTTCAATTCGTATGGTTACTTCTGGATGACCCCGCCCTCATTGAGAATAATTAGCGGGATCAACAGGTAATCTTATTGGCAATCAAAATATTGAGGCATTTTTGTCCCAAAAGACCGTGACTTTTTTAAAATAATGATGTAAATCGAACAAAATGGTAACAGCAGAAACATCATAAAAGTAACTGAAGAATTACCAGGTAATTTTTAAAATTTTCCACCATGGTTAAAAAAAATACAAACGCCCAATTTCAATTATAAAATGTCTTTCCTTTTATGACTATCTTGTATCCTGGTCGCTGTCGCGGGAACAACTTAAAATTTTATTGACTGTCAACAAATTGATGGATTTTTTCTCTGGATATCCAATTTCTTTTTTAAAGAAATGACTCGTATTTCACAAAAATAATTGGAGATTTTTTAAATAATTTTCTATAATTTCTTCAATCCCGAGAGTAGAATCCGATGAAATGCGCGGTAAATCGCCACCCTTTCCCTCGCGAAACCTCAGCCGTTCCCTCCTGTGCGAATTGAGCCACCTGCCGAGTCAGTCGCGAAGTGCGAGTTGCGCCCTTGTGCGTTACGAAATTGCGTTTTGTGAAGATTTATGAGTGTAATTACGGTGCGAGAGATATTTGCTGTTGTTATGCGTGTGTTATTTGCTAGTGCTACGGGTGTGAAACGATATTTTGTTGTTCGATAATTTGTTGTTATTAATATGATATTGTAATTATTATCATTAATCGTACACTTAATGTATTAAAGTTACTGTAAGTTAATTAAACTGCTACTGTAAGATAAGGGAATTACTTACTCTAATTGTAAGCTATTTGCCACTATAATAATCTACTAGTTTATTGTTAATGTTATTTGTTATGTGTTAATTAGGCTTTGCGTAGTTTAAAATGTAATTTACCTTAATGTTTATTATGATAAATTGCATTAATATTCATGTAATTCATTGAGTAAACAATTTGCATTATTACTGTAAGTAATGTAATTGAATGTAAATCGTTATAACTTAAATTAATGTAACTGTCTATATTAATCAATTAGGTATATTTTTATCATGTAATTTAGAAAGATAATGTAAACTAAAAAAAATATACTGAAAGTTAATGAAATTAACTTACTTCGTTGTGTCGTGTGACGAGGATGGTTTTATCTTGTCTTGATTGGTCTTGTCTGGTCTAATTTTGTCTGGTCTTGTCTTGCATTGTCTGGCCTTAATTGAAATTGTTTTCTTTGGTATTGTCTGGTCATGCATGGTCTCGTATTGTCTGTTCTGATCTGGTATGGTCTGGTCTGGTCTAGTCTGCTTTGTTCTTGGTAGTGGTCGAGTCGTGTGTTGTTTGCTTTTTTCGTGCCGACCTGCGGTCGGCTAGCGGAATTTTCTCCTCCAAGAATCTCCCACCAGCGGGGCACCGCCCCAGCCGTGACAAGCTCTAAGCTCCCTATCGGTCTCCCGACGAAGTGTAGTGCGTGTTCGTGTAGTGTGTAAGTAAGAGGTGAGGATAGGACAAGGAAGAGGAAGGAAAGATCGCGCGCGGTCCGTGGCACGTTTGTTAGGATACTGTTCCGACATTCGCCTGATGTTGATTGGACAAACCGCGGAAAACTACCGATCAGAGCAGCCGGCCGCTAGATTTCCAGACAGGGATTGAATTTGTCCTGACAAGCTAGTATCGAAAATACTGCCACCGTCGGGACTCGAACCTAGGTCGTAGGCGCTGCAGTGTCGGGGGGAGGGGGCGAGGCAATGATAATTCCTTTTTGGCAATGAACTTGTGGTGGGAAATGTCATTTCCGCGTTACATTTGCCCCTGATTTGTAGGCAACACTCCGGGCTTTGATGGTTGGGAGGTTCCCATATTTTTGGTTGCGTCAGGGCATAGTTTTAGTAGTGCGTAGTTTTTGTGTCATTTTATAAATTAAATTATCTATTAATTAATTAAAAAATGAAGGAACACACGAGAGGATATTGATTACGGTATCTATTAAATATAGTCAATTCGTAATAATTTTTATTACATGGTACAACGTTTCTCTAATTCGTCTGTTTGCTTTATCAGGTACAACTAAAATAGTAACTTTCAAAAAATATTCCCAGTGGTGATTTTAGTTGTGAAAAAAGTTTTTAATAAATTAAGAAAAGGGGAGTCTAAATTTCTCTTCATTACTGCATATTGTATACTTTAATTGTCTCAAAATGTATTTATGTAATTTTAATGTTATTATATATTGTTACTATTTTAGTCGTACCTGATAAACAGACACATATGTCTGAGAAACGTTCTACCTTGTAATAAAAATTACGAATTGCCTGTCTACAATTTATAGATACTGTAATCCATACAATTCAATTTAGACAGGTGGACACAAAAATAACCTTATTCAATCAAGGCGTAATTTTTGTGTCATATTTTCGAATATGACCTTAATTAATTTGAACTTAAAATTCAATGGGAGTCTTTTTTTAAATATAATTTCGTTCCTGCGCAACCACAGAGGGGTTCGCATTACTGCGCATCGAAATGTCTGTCTCTGTGAACCAGTATACAACCCAGTGGTTATTTCAACTCGTGTTTAAAACTTTCCATTGTGCTGCAGAGGTGCTCAAAACCAACCTCCCTGGGGGGTACCACGTCCCTGATGTCACCACAATGCATCAACATCAACTCTATCACGACTCAACCGACAACAACAAAATTCAAGCCCTAAGGTCACACCCGAGAAAACGCAGTCTCAGCAACCTCCAGGTAACCGGCGCCAAACGCAAGGCTAATTTTCTCCCCGGCGTAATGGGTCCGCCTACCAAGCACAGATTTGACCCGCTCGGGCAACAGGTGGATGATGATAGAGAGAAAAATGCCCAAATTTTGAATGATATAGGGCCCATGATCAAAAAGGCACCTCCAATATGAATTCACGAAATTAAAAACTATAAAGTAATTAATCACGGAGATTGGAGAAAACTTTGTTACCCAAATGAGAGGTAATTCAGTTAAAATTTCGTAACTCTATAGACGATTTCAGAAAAAAAACTATTCATTTTCTCGACCAGAATACGTGTCAATATCACACGTTCAAAGACTCATCAGTCAACACTTTTAATGCAGTAATTTGTGGAGTGCCGATCGATTACGAAGAAAGTAAAATTGCTGAAGAACTTTGAAAGGTTAATATTTCAAAATAACCCGCCTCTTAAGATTTGATAAATCTGCCACGCCGTTATGTGCAGTTTTAGTGAATGACAGACCAACCTTTGAAAAACTAGCATCAATAGGCTTTTCAGTGCCGTGGTAACAGTTACTCTCAGACGCCGTAATTCATTTATTGTGAGATGCAAAAAATGTCAGGACTAAGGACACACGAAAAACTATTGCACTACAACTCCAAAATGTGTAAAATGCACTAACTTACAAGAACCGGGCAAATGCAATTTAAAACTCCAACTTAATCCCTCTTGCGTAAATTGTAACCAAGCTCACTTCGCGTCATCGCGCAAATGTGAATATTGACAAAGTCAAGAAGCATTCAGAAGTTAATCTATTCATATTCACAGTCAGTTGACAATTCCCCTCTCCCTCCTCCTTTTCAACGCGCTAGTGCCTACGACCGTCACTAGAATCCCTCCCCCTCCTCCTCAACAATGTATTATTCCAACTTATCCACAACACCCATTAACTAACCCTTCACCCCAACTCTCCCCCTCCCCCATACTAAACCAA